CGTTAGAGACTCCAGCCACCCAAGGCATAGACTGTTCTCTCTGCTTCCGCATGGCAAGCGGTACCGATGCATCAAGTCTGACACCAACAGGCTCCTGAACAGCTTCTATACCCAAGCCATAAGACTGTTAAATAGCTAACAGAGTGGCTACACAGACTATCTGTGTTGACCCTTGGATTTAACTTTTATTTTTGACCTGTCTCTAAGCACAATCACAGGACTGACACTCCAACACACACATAACATGCACACACATTTATACTGACTCTACACACACGCACACACACTCACATACAATCATCATTACGCTGCTGCTACTCTGTTTATCATATATCCTATTGCCTAGTCACCTTACCACTATACATCATCTACAGTCCCGTCAGAAAGTATTCACATCCCTTTACTTTTTCCAAATTTTGTTGTGTTACAGCCTGAATTTAAAATGGATTAAATTTAGATTTTGTGTCACTGGGCTACACACAATACCCCATAATGTCAAAGTGGAATTATGTTTTTTAGAAATTGTTACCCCTAAACATATCTACCTCTATCGCTCCAGTATCCCTGCACATTGTAAATATGGTATTGGAACTTACCCTGTATATAGCTACTGACCCTGGAACTGTCCCTGTATATACAGTGGGGGAAAAAGTATTTAGTCAGCCACCAATTGTGCAAGTTCTCCCACTTAAAAAGATGAGAGAGGCCTGTCATTTTCATCATAGGTACATGTCAACTATGACAGACAAATTGAGAAAAAAAATCCAGAAAATCACATTGTAGGATTTTTTATGAATTTATTTGCAAATTATGGTGGAAAATAAGTATTTGGTCACCTACAAACAAGCAAGATGTCTGGCTCTCACAGACCTGTAACTTCTTCTTTAAGAGGCTCCTCTGTCCTCCACTCGTTACCTGTATTAATGGCACCTGTTTGAACTTGTTATCAGTATAAAAGACACCTGTCCACAACCTCAAACAGTCACACTCCAAACTCCACTATGGCTAAGACCAAAGAGCTGTCAAAGGACACCAGAAACAAAATTGTAGACCTGCACCAGGCTGGGAAGACGGAATCTGCAATAGGTAAGCAGCTTGGTTTGAAGAAATCAACTGTGGGAGCAATTATTAGGAAATGGAAGACATACAAGACCACTGATAATCTCCCTCGATCTGGGGCTCCACGCAAGATCTCACCCCGTGGGGTCAAAATGATCACAAGAACGGTGAGCAAAAATCCCAGAACCACACAGGGGGACCTAGTGAATGACCTGCAGAGAGCTGGGACCAAAGTAACAAAGCCTACCATTAGTAACACACTACGCCGCCAGGGACTCAAATCCTGCAGTGCCAGACGTGTCCCCCTGCTTAAGCCAGTACATGTCCAGGCCCGTCTGAAGTTTGCTAGAGTGCATATGGATGATCCAGAAGAGGATTGGGAGAATGTCATATGGTCAGATGAAACCAAAATAGAACTTTTTGGTAAAAACTCAACTCGTCGTGTTTGGAGGACAAAGAATGCTGAGTTACATCCAAAGAACACCATACATACTGTGAAGCATGGGGGTGGAAACATCATGCTTTGGGGCTGTTTTTCTGCAAAGGGGCCAGGACGACTGGTCCGTGTAAAGGAAAGAATGAATGGGGCCATGTATCGTGAGATTTTGAGTGAAAACCTCCTTCCATCAGCAAGGGCATTGAAGATGAAACGTGGCTGGGTCTTTCAGCATGACAATGATCCCAAACACACCGCCCGGGCAACGAAGGAGTGGCTTCGTAAGAAGCATTTCAAGGTCCTGGAGTGGCCTAGCTAGTCTCCAGATCTCAACCCCATAGAAAATCTTTGGAGGGAGTTGAAAGTCTGTGTTGCCCAGCGACAGCCCCAAAACATCACTGCTCTAGAGGAGATCTGCATGGAGGAATGGGCCAAAATACCAGCAACAGTGTGTGAAAACCTTGTGAAGACTTACAGAAAACGTTTGACCTGTGTCATTGCCAACAAAGGGTATACAGTATAACAAAGTATTGAGAAACTTTTGTTATTGACCAAATACTTATTTTCCACCATAATTTGCAAATAAATTCATTAAAAATCCTACAATGTGATTTTCTGGATTTTTTTTTCTCATTTTGTCTGTCATAGTTGCTGACTAAATACTTTTTTCCCCACTGTAGCTACTGACCCTGGAACAGACACTGTATATAACTACTGACCCTGGAACTGACCCTGTATATAGCTACTGACCCTGGAACTGTCCCTGTATATAGCTACTGACTCCGGAACTGTCCCTGTATATAGCTACTGACCCTGGAACTGTCCCTGTATATAGCTACTGACCCTGGAACTGACCCTGTATATAGCTACTGACCCTGGAACTGACCCTGTATATAGCTACTGACCCTGGAACTGTCCCTGTATATAGCTACTGACCCTGGAACTGTCCCTGTATATAGCTACTGACCCTGGAACTGTCCCTGTATATAGCAACTGACCCTGGAACTGTCCCTGTATATAGCTACTGACCCTGGAACTGACCCTGTATTTAGCGTCTTATTTTCTCCTGTTCTTATTTCTTATTTTTATTTCTCGTCTGCGTGTGTTCTACCTATTTTTAGTGCTACAGTACATTCATTGATTGATTACTGCATCGCTGGGTTTGGAGCTCGCAAGAAAGGCATTTCACTATACTTGTGAACATGACATTAAAACTTAAAACTTAAAACTTGAGATAGGAGAGAGACAGAGAGAATGAGAGAGAGGAACAGGAAGATATTAAGTCAGAGCGAGAGAGAGAGTGAGAGAGAGGAACAGGAAGATATTAAGTCAGAGCGAGAGAGAGAGTGAGAGAGAGGAACAGGAGACCTGCAGTACCACACGTCTACGACTCCTGAAGGTTCCTATAACCTTCACATTGGAATCAGTCCCAAATATTCCATCCCCGCTTCATTCAGGGGAAATAATATTCTACACAGTCCCACTGCACCCGAAAACACACACATACACAAATGCACACACACACTCATCAGAAGGTACTCAGACCCAGTGGAGTCTGTGTGGAGACAAACAGTATGTCTGTTACACAGGGATCACATTGCTGCTCCATTTATCTCAAGGCCATATTAGAAATGCATGTTGCCTTCTAATACCAAATTCATTTCCAGCCATTGAAAGGGGTGATTTCTCATGGATGTGCATTTACATAAAAAATGCTCTATACACACACACGCACTCACACACACAGACACAGACACACACACAGACAGACAGACACACACACACACACACACACACACCCTCCCTGCTGCCACTGTGTCTCAGTACAGTCTCTCATATCATAACCAAGAGGTCCCCTGATCTACAGCCACAGTGAGTGGAGGTATTACAGGCTTATAGGGAAGGAGAATGATTCTGGCTAGAGGAGCCATGACTGTTTAATCCACGACAGTTATTGTGTTGTATTGGAAAAATATGTTTCCATATCATCACTGCAAAGAAACTGTGATCTTTTCAAACCCAGGGGCTGTATGGCTGTGTTGAACCTAAACCTGGTAGAATCGTTTTTTGGGGGGAAATCTGATGAAATAATGCTCCTTTTGCTGACAGTTTGGAATGACATGGTTCTGTATTAAATAAAGACAACACTCAACATCACACAGCTTTATATCATATCTTATCATTATGCTGTAAATCAATACCGATGAGGAGAGAGGAGAGTACTGTGTTGTTAGACTTCTCCAGGTAACTTGGTAACCAGTTGTGATTGAACAGGGCCCTTGGTTAAATCAAACAGAGTAGAGTACTGTGTTGTTAGACTTCTCCAAGTAACTTGGTAACCCCGTGTAGCTCAGTTGGTAGAGCATGGCGCTTGCAACGCCAGGGTTGTGGGTTCGTTTCCCACGGGGGGCCAGTGTGGAAAATGTATGCACTCACTAACTGTAAGTGGCTCTGGATAAGAGCGTCTGCTAAATGACGTAAATGTAACCAGTGGAGATTGAACAGGGCCCTTGGTTTCTCACCTGGGGTCACACAGTCTGCTGTCTTATCTGGTTTTCATCTTGGTGCGGTCCCTAGGATGTGACATCACCACCCCATACCTTCAGGGACATATTCTGTCAACCTAATTTCTAAATGAATCCTCATCGCTCCTCACAGTTAGCCTACATGAGGATCCCTGCATGGTCCTTCCAATTTCATGAAGATCTGCTTCTCTAAGTAACATGCTGTTATTTTAGCTGCCTTATACTCAGATGTGTGAGGTGGGCGTTTTGCCCAGTCTTTTAGATGTTTTGCCTTAATCATTGAGTCGGGTTTTGGCTATAAGTAAGTTCGTTTTTCAAGTACTTTTTTTGGGGTCAATTATTTTCATCATTTTTGCCATCTGTACATTTTGTACATTCTCACCTCTGGATGCAGTCCAACCTCCTCAGTCTCAACTGCTGCTGCTCCACACCAACTAAATAGGCTGCCGGGTCCTCAACATTTTTTTATTACATTATTAATATTATTATTTATTTATTGATATATTTACACCAAATACAAACATACACATACGAACAACAACTTACAGACACACACAAACAAAGACTACATCTCCTCTGCCCAGACCCGCATCCTCTATCTTAACACACATAACCTAGCGTAGCAGGTGTAAAACAAACGCCTGAAACCAGATACCCTACATACTGGTCTTGACGAGAAGAAAATAAACTGTCTGGTGAGGTTCTCTTCTGCACTGTTCAACCAATCCAGCAAATGTGGTGCTAGAGTTAAGTCACCCTGGTGTCGCCTTGTTAATGTTATTATATTATTATTATTATTATTAATGTCCAAAAGTGGAAGTCGAGTCACAGGCTCTCTTTTTTAATTTCCCCTGAAAACCTGAACATCCGGTTGTTGGGGACTCGGTAGAGACTACACAACACATGAAAGAGAAAGGGAAAGAGAGAGAGAGAGAGAGAGAGAGAGAGAGTGTGCGTGTGTATATGTGTGTCCTGCTGACCTGAGCCTGGGCAGTGGTGTCGTTCAGAGCTCTCCTCAGAGCCTGGGTCAGCCCTCTACGCAGGTTCTGTCTCTGGATGCTGTCCAGGCGGTTCCTTCTCACATGGATGGTCAGAACTGTAGAGAGAAAAAGATGGGAGGGGGAGAGAGAGTGGGTGGGAGAGAGAGAGAGAGAGTGGGGGGAGAGAGAGAGAGAGAGAGAGAGAGAGAGAGAGAGAGAGAGAGAGAGGAGAGAGAGAGAGAGAGAGAGGGAGAGGAGGAGGAGGGGGGGGGAGAAGAGAGAGGGAGGGCATATTTTATTTGGAAAATAGAACTATATAGTCAACTATATATCTCTGTAATTACAACCATAACCCCAACTACTACCTACAATGGCAATAGCAACCTGTTGAGAAAAAGTTAATGGCATTCTTTTTCCTTGAGTTGTTAAAATACTGTAAGTGGCTCTTACTTGTTTTAACCCAGATCTTCTCTGTGACGTTACACTGTCGGGGTGGAGCCTCCATGGTGGTGGTGAAGGGGAAGGGGGTGAGGAGGCTGGTTGTAGTCCCTCTGGGTTTCGTCTTTGGGATTGGAGGTGACAGTGTCCGCCTGGAGGCTGGAGCAGTAGTGGTGGTAGTGGTTGTAGTTCTGCGTGTTGTTGTTGTGGTTGGGGTCTCTGTGATTGGCTGTGTTGTAGTTGTGGTTGCAGGACGTGCAGTGGTTGTGGTTGAAGCTATGGTTGTGGTTGTCACAGTTGTGAGCTGGAGGGATGCAGTCGTTGTGTCTTCTCGAGAGGTCAAAGGTGACACCTGTGATGTTGTAAGTGCAGGCCTGTCGGCGAAGGTGAGGTTCCCTGTTTGGGATAAACTGGTCTCGTTGTCTTTGGGGAAATTAACCCCTGTCTCTATGGATGTTCCCATGGTTAACTCCTCCATCGCTGTCTCTGTAACAAGAACAGAAGTCACACTCACTTCCTCTGAGAGATGGGAGGGGAATGATGATGTCACACTCGATGCCAGGGCGATTAATGATGATGTAACACCACGGGACATGAGTGCGGAGGATGATGTCATCATACCAGTGGACAAACGGACAGTGGATGATGATGTCACACTGGATGCCAGGGCGCTGGGTGATGAAGTAACACCACGGGACATGAGGGCGGAGGATGATGATGTAAGAGCAGGTGAAATAAGGGCAGAGGGTGATGACGTCATACCAGTGGAGGGGAAGACACTTGATGGGGATGGCGACATCACACTCAAACTCAATCCAGAAGTGGATGATGATGTTGAATCAGAACGTTCCGTGGAGAGGGAGGACAGACTGGGAGCTGTGGTGGGACTGGACATACTGCTGATGTGAGATTGGTGTGAGACGACGGATGATGACGATGTCATTGATAACAATGGTAAAAATGAAGATATTGCTGAAGATAGTGCTGATGATGATGATGGGGATGAAGACGAGGATGATGATGATGATGATAATGGTGATGATGATGATGATGGTGACGATGATGGTGATGATACTGGTGATGATGATGATGGTGATGATGATAATAATGGTGATGATGATGATGATGGTGATGTTGATGATGATGGTGATGATGATGATGGTGATGGTGATGATGATGGTGATGATGATGGTGATGATGATAATAATGGTGATGATGATGATGATGGTGATGTTGATGATGATGATGATTGTGACGATGATGATGGTGACGATGATGATGATAATGGTGATGAAGGTGATAATGGTGATGATGATGACGGTGAGTCAACTTGTGAAGATACAACTTTCATTGTTGAGTCAGTATGTCCCGTATCCATAGTGACATGTTTATGGGGTGTAGGGGTATTCAGAACTGTTGCGTCAGAAATAGTGACAGACTCCGGCGTGCTAACACTTACATTCCCCTCAGACGCTGTATATTTGTTATGATGGGCAGATGAGAGGGAGATGATGGCTGAAATAGTCACATAGTTATCAGTTGTGGTAGAGACTGGCATGGACACTGATAATGCTGATGTTAGCCCTTCTAAGAGGGGAGTGTTGTTCTCCGTGGTTCTCTGCTGTGTAGTGGAGGATATAGAAGCCATCAGATTGGCTGGTTTCAAACTCCACGGCTTGGGTAATGGTATTGCTTTAGAATATGTGACAGACGTGTGTCCAACAAAGGTCTCCTCACTCCCATTTGACATCACTGTAGATGCACCAGGGGAGAATGTGCTATCAGCTGAGTGAGATGAGACAGGTGTTAGAGAAAGATCTGCATTATGTCCATTGAGTTCCAGGCTTTTAGTGGAAAGTCCTTCTATATCAGAGGTTATGGTATTAAAATATTTAGATGATGCAGTTGAGGACACGTCCATTTTCCTGTCTAAATCAGAATGAGAACGATAGCTATGCTCATTTGTTAATGGTGTCTGTGACTGAGTAGGGTATTCCCTCATGACTGTGGGACTTTCTGACATAGTAGAGAGAATATATTTTTCCCTTATTGTAGTTTCCTCTCTGTGGGAGACAATGTTAAGAGGAGTCGATACAGCCTCTGCAGTATTAACAGATGCAGGGATACCAGTGGGGCGTGGATAAGGAGAATCTTCAGTGTCGGTCCCTCTGGAAATCAAGGAGTCCTCTGTAACATAAGAGGAGGGTGTTGGAGAACCCATTAATGGGGGTGTTCCCTTATAAACACGAACGCTTATGTCTGTGATGTAAGTGAGGGAATCCTCAACTACAGCAGAAAGGGGTGAAACTGAGCCAGTCGCTGTACTTGGCTGAGATTCAGTGTTCTCAGCAGGCTTGTGTGTATGAGCAGAAGCATCAAGTGGTGTCAGATGTTCAGGTGAACTGGAGTGGACCTGGGCTGTGGAGTGGACCTGGGCGCTGGAGTGGACCTGGGCGCTGGAGAGTGTTTGAAAGATGTGGTCTGTCTCGCCTGTCGCAGTAGGTTTGGGTGAGGTGACAAACAGTGAGGACAATGTTGAGGACAAGGCTCTCTCTGCTGTGTCAGTGGTCATTACAAGGGACATTTCAGGGGATGTTTCAGAGAACATTTCAGTTGACATTTCAGAGGGATTTACAGGGGACATTTCTGTTGACATTTCAGAGGGATTTACAGGGGACATTTCTGCTGACATTTCAGGTGACGTAAGGAGGGACATATCAGGGGTCATATCAGGGAAACCTACCTCAGACCCTGTGCTAACAGAAATATACAATGGCCTTGTTTGAAACTGGGTGGCTGATGGTGAGGTAGCGCGAGGCGTCGCTAACGGCACTACAGGTCTGTGTGTTGGAGTGGTTCCTCTAGAGCCAGACTGGGTCAGTGTATCATCAGTTCTGTGGAGACTAGAGACCGTTGGGTTAAAGTAAGGGTGCTTGGTGGTCAGGATGGTGGAGAGGGTGAATTGGGGACCCTGGGGTACTGTTGAGGGACTAGCATGCAGGGTGGGAGAGGTTAATGCCTGTGTTAGGTGCTGAGGTAAAGCTGATGGATCAGTGACAGGAAGTGACATCAGGCCTGTGTCAGAATTCAAGGAAGGGGTCAGTGAGGTTAGAGGGGTCCATCCTGCATCTCCAATGGTTACGCTACTAGAAGACATGGGTGAGTCACTCAGTGTTCCAGACACAGAGCTAAGAGTGGAGTCACTGAAGGCTGGACTTGTTGTCTGAGCAGTTGACTCCAAGATGACGTCTGTCCCTGCTCTTCCTCCCTCATCATTATTCCTATTGGGGTCAGGAGCACTTGAGCTGCTGTGACCTGTGGCTGTCCCTAAATCCCTGGGATATGATGAGCTCTGAGGAGATGCTGTACTCCAATAAGAGCCTGTTAATTTAGCCCCTGTTTTGTCTGAGCGGGGTGAGTCGGTATCTGACACGGTTGGTAAGGAGTTAGATGAGATAGGGAAATACTTTGTTGATATTCTGGTCGTCACAGCCGGTGATTCACTTGAATATGCAGCATGAGAAGGCACTGAAGTAACTGCTACAGGCCAGGCGCTTCTTATTAAAGCCGTCTGACTACCTGTCCATGTCTTATCTCTATTCGCCCTGTTTAGTGCTGCACTGATATTTTCCCCTGTGACGAGACTAGGAACTAAAAATCCTTGTAGTGGAGTAGGTGGAGATGACAGCAATGCTGAGCGGGCAGTTTGTAAAACTCCCTGTTGGCTGTGATCAGCTTGACTGTCCTGGACATGAGAGGAGAGAAGTAAAGCGCTTGTCTCTCTGTTGTTACTGAAAACAGTCCTGGTACTGCGGCTGCCTGAGGATCTGATGGTTCTGGCTGAAACGGTGAAAGGGACGTTTCCAGAGGTAACCCTAGTAGAGGTGAAGTGGTCCAGTTCTGTCTTTGCTGGTTTCCATGTTGTGAAAGGACTGGTGTCTATTTTGTTTGATGATGTTGTCCTGTGTGTCCCATACAAGCCATGGGATTGAACCAATGCTGGTGCTGCGGAGTCCTGAGTCCTGACTTGTGTCTTGGTGCCACTGGTCTCTGTGGTCACTCCTCTAGTGAGTGATTGGTGAGTGGAGTCAGAGAGGGGAACTGGTGTGTTTGGTAAGCTCTTTGTGACAGTAAATATATCTACATCTAAACCAATGCTGGATTGGATTGGGGGATTCAATGATGGTTTTTTCAGAGGAAACACAGATGACATTGATGAGGCAGTTTGTGTCAAACTGACAGGGTTAGACGGGCTTGAGTTGTCATAGGATGAAGCAGCTGCTGTTGTTATTAACCATTCATATGATGATGCTGGTGATTGTGATGATGATAGTGATGATGATGGTGATGATGATGATAATATTGCTGATGATGATGAGAACAATGTGGGTGCTGATGATGACACTGCCCTCCAATCCCCAGTCATGAAGGACGCCACTGATGACACTGGCATTGATGACGCCATGGTAACAGTCTGGTGAAGCATGCTGGGAGTCAAACCTGAGCTGTCAGACAGGTCTCTGCTCGGCTCCACAGGAGAAGAAGAGGAGAAGGGAGCCACCGAAGGCCACTGGCTCGTTTGGTTGTTGTCCTTGGTGATGGTTGGCGAGGCCTTGGATTGGACCAAGCTCTGAGGGTGTTTGTCCGCCAGCAGGGTCAGTATAGAGGAAAAGGCCGGCTGCTCTCTCAGCCCCACCCCCTCTGACACAGCCCTGCCATCTGGTTGGATGACTGATAAAGGCTCCTCATCCACCAACAGCAGGCCGGCCACTGGGTGAGTGGGATGGGGGGAGGCTGTCGGGTCATTGGGTAGATCAGAAGAACCAGAGTTGTCGTAGGTCGTCTCATCTGGAATAGAGTGGAAAGGTAAGCAAGGGGTCAATGTTGGCTACTTCAGCTACTTCTCCACAGAGGGCTAATCTTAAAGTTGCACAAAGTTTCAGAGCGAGAGTGTGTAATTTTCTTTCCATTTAGAGCAAAACCATTCAAACACTTTTTCCATTTTGCCTGGGATTCAGAAATGAGTTCTTTGAAGAGAGAGAACAGCAATCAGAATCCTTACACTGCAGGAGCCATTGACAATATAAAACCCAATTCCATCACCTGAATAGAAATGTTGATGCTTCCCCACCTCATTTAGAAACCATTGAAGACTAACAGTGTAAGGCACATTTCAGTCTTAGAGCATATTCATTCAAGCTGTAATTAACTGTTGAATTACCTAGTTTGGTTGTATACTACAGTGAAGCTAATGTGACCACAGGGCTGAAATTGTATGAAGTGCCTTGAAAACATCTTGATGTCTATTTTGACAAATTCTTCTTAAAACTATAGTTTTTTTAAAACTTCAAACCTCTAATCGTTTTAAAGTACTAATGTCACAGAGAGAGAGAGAGAGAGAGAGAGAGAGAGAGAGAGAGAGAGAGAGAGAGGGAGATTTGGTTCAGGTGTCACAAACAAGCTGGCTGTAATAACAGCCCTAAGATGGCCGTCCGGCTGCGAGGCTGGCACTAGTCCCTCCTTCCCTCCTCCTCTCCATTCTCAGCTCGTCCCCCAAACATCCTCTACACATCTGTCTGGGGTGTTCTTTTATTATTTTATAAAGATTTGCAAGCCTGTCACATCCCTCACTGTCGCTGTATGTTTCACCTGGCGAGGTGGGTGCATCCAGCTAATGCACACACAGACACACACACTCTTCGTAATATTCAAACCTGTTAACACTGAAAATCAGTGTTAAGATCATCATGTCTCCCACCAACAAGTATCGCATCTATTAAAACTGCCTTGTACCACACTTTTAAACTGA